TTTTTTTGAGACAGGGTCTCACTATGTAGTTGAGACTGACCTGGAACTCTCTATGTAGCTCAGGCTGGTCTCCAACTTACAGCGATCCTCCTGCCTCAGCCTCCCGAGTGCTGGGATTATGGCATGTGCCACCACGCCTGGCTCCCTACTTTTACGTTCTCAAGCCTTCTACCTATTCTCTCTTTCAGCAGATTTAGTGTTTCTGTTTTAATATTTAGATCTTTGAGGATCAAAATGTTTTGGAAACAGGATCTTTCTGTGTTGCCCAGCCTGGCCTTGAACACAGTAGTTAGTGATAAACTACTAACTACTGCCTCAGCCTCCCAGGAACTGGGATTACAGGTGTGCACAATGCGCCTAGCCAACTCCTGTCTTTACTGCTAGAAGATAGCCTAAAAGTGTTCCCAAATCTGAGGCAGACTGAAATAAAAGAATCCAAAACCCAGCCATGCATCTTCCCAGTTTAAAGATGCCAGCCTGATACTTGGAAGCAAACCTTCAGGGAATAAGAGACTCATACCCTTCTTAACAAAACCATAGGACCAGAGATTTAGCTCAGTGATTCTGCCACCTGCTGTGCAAGTACAAGGTCCCAAGTTCAATCCCCAGTGCCAAAAGAAACAAACAAACAAAAAACTATTGGTGACTTCAGTGAGCCGATCTGTTCAGCAGATTAGGTGTCTGACAATGCTGCATGGCATTTTTAAATAAATGTTTTTAAATTAATGGCAAAACTTATCAAAAATAAAAGAAAATACTCTCTAGCCAAGAGTAAATTAGAGCCTAACTGTAGGGAGATGAATAAGCATACTGTACTGGCCACTCAGGGGGTATCTGCCAATCCTGGCAGTCAGATCTTTCATTTCTAGGCTCCCGCCATGTACAGGAGGCCCTGTCTTGGGCCATCAGAATGCATGAAGATCTGACTCCCCACATGAAGCTTGGACTACAAGGGGAATCACTCACAGAGAACAAGCAAACTGGAGGGAAATCCTCTCTTCCAAAGCAGACGGGCTGGGGGTGTAGCTCAACGGAAGAGCTCTTTTCTAGCGTGCACACGGAATCCCTGTGTTTGATTCCCAGCACTGCAAAAAGAAAAAAAAGCAGAACATGGGTTGTGGTGAAGTATTTTCTTTAAATCAGTTACGTTCTGAATGCAGACTATATTGCAGTCTGGACAGGATATACCGAAAGTTTTTGTTGTTGTTTTTTTTTAACCTCCCAGTGCTTTACGATATTAGTCAAGCAGAATGGGTTTATTCTTGACATCCAGAGCTAGAAAGGTTATTTTTGAAGAAACATCCCTTCTGCATCGTCAATTAGATTTGAGCCCAAAGCTCTCTCAGTCCCTGCATGTGTTCTGTTTCTGCTTTTGTCCATATAGTTCCTCTACTTGGAATGCTTTTCTCCCTTCCCACATATGAAAGTACTGGGCATCCCTGAAGACCAAGCTGAAATGCCATTACACCATAAAGCTTGAGATTCACCCAGCTCAGAGACGTTGCTCTGTCTTCTGTGCCTGGTGATAGCTAACATATCACACACCACCTTCAGTTGGAGTCGATGTATATGTCTGATCCCCCATGAAACTAAGCTTCTGGAAGATAAGCTGTGCTCTGTCCATCTTTGCAACACTCTGTATCCTGAAAAGAATCAGCACTCAAGTAATGTTTGGTGTGTTAAATTGAAGAGACTCAAACTGGGAACCCGGGGCTCTATTTCATCACTCTGAAAACTCCTCAGTTACAGCTACTATCATTTGTTGAAAACTGGGAGATTTCTGTGCATTTATAGACACAGATCAGAGGGCTATTCAGAAGAGCATTGCCATGTATGCTGTCTCCTTCTGTGGGCCTCACTACTTAGGAAGAACAGTGCTCATCTGTCCCGCCCTCTCATGGAAAGAATGTTATTTGCCCTCAGTGCAAGCTCACAAACCCTTGCCTGTGTCAGCCAGCTACTTTGCCAAGATGGAGCATTTTTATTGAGTGAAGCTACTGTCCTGACCCCCTGCCCTCAAAGGGGAGCCCAAGGAGGTGGGTGCAGAGCAATAATGATGATAATCATGGTAACAGCCAGGCACAGCTCTAAATGCTGTACTCATAAAATTTTCTATGGTAGACACTACTAACATCTCTTTTTATATTTCAGATACCAGCACAGCTTACCCCAGCCACATACTTAGTAGGAGCAGAGCTCAGACTCTGGCCTTAACATCAGTGATAGCATTTGAATCTGTGTTATTTCCAGCGCTGAGACTTACTTAACTCTCTGAGCCTTGATTTTCTTGTTCTGTAAAATGAACATAATAATCTTGTCTTTAGGATAAAAAGAAATTAAATGAGAACACTACAACACCTATGCTTTTTAGATGATTAATAATAACTTTTTTTTTTTTGTACCGGGATCAAACTTGGGACCTTGTGCTTATGAGGCAGGCAGCAACACCACTGAGCTAAATCCCCAGCTATAATAACTACTTTAAAAATAATAAAATGGCCAGGCACAGTGGCATGCATGATCATGTGAGCCCAGGAGTTCCAGCACAGCCTGGACAACGTTGTCGTTAAAAAAAAAAAAGATCAAATGGCAGCATTAAAAAATATTAGCATTGTAGCAATGAAGGCATGACCAGGGAGAATATATTTGCATGTTAGTAAAATGTCCCCCAAGTCCATTCTTTGTCATGTTATGAAGATAGTTTGATTCCAATATGAAAAATTATTTCCCTCTATCAGGATTTCACAAGAAAATACCACATCTGACATGTAACACAGAGACTGAATAGTCTTCAAACCAAACGAGCCCCCCCCAGCATGTGGTGTTTTTGCTGACCACATTATATTGAGCTATAATAAAGGATAGATCAGGCTGACACAAATTGAAAAATCAAATGCAAAGATCACACTGAAGCCATCCAAAATAGCGTAACACACTTTAATTATTCTGTTTTAGCTTGCTGCATCTTAAAACATTTCCTTTCAAATCAAGTCACAGCTCTGTGTACTTTAGGCTGTGGCCATCATGAGCAAATATGAAAAGAAGCAGAGTTAGAACAGATGAATACCCAGGGTTGTCCATTTTTCTAATGTAATGTAACATAAATGACCATTAAGAGACTTGTGAAGAAATCAGTGAAACAATGTCAAGTACACGTTTCTGTATAATTGAATGACAGCTTTTGTTAGTGCCTGTTACCAGGTTTGGTGAAGGTTATCATTCTTTTGGAAAGTCAAAAAGTCCTCCCCTCAAAATGACTCTCAAGTTAGAACAGTGGAAAATAAACATACTCGAAGTTGGTAAAGTGAGTATTCCTCCTTCTGGAGGAAGTGGAAATGTGTTACCATAGAAACTCACCATCCCTCTACCTGCAACAACTGATTTAAATATTTTGGCAAGGAAAAGGTTGAAGTCATCTTCTGGTTCCACCTTCTCCTCTTACAATTCCTCAACTCACCTGAACAACTTGGAGTTCTACAAACCAATTAGTCTTAAATGGTTAATTCTAGGAATGGTAGATTTGGTCAGCTTAATTTTCCCTGAATGAGGGATGTCATATTGAACCACTTGGTTTGAGAGTGGCTGGAGAGATACCGACACTTCAGAAGCATGCTAGTGGAGTGTGACTGCTCTCTCACTCAGTGATGCCGTGCAGTGAATGGGACCAGTGATGGGAGCAATGTGGAGTTGTGCATTCTTTCACAGTTCACTTGCAAGAACAGCTTGAGTGTTGCTTCATCGTCTGATGATCGTAACAGTTTGTCCTCGTTGGGTGCTGTGACCTGTACCCCCTGGTGGGAGTTGTTTGCTTAGATCTGGAAAATCTGTACTCGTGGTTTGGCTGGGAACACAAGTCAAAGATAAAGACAGCTGGGGGATGAGCTGAGCTGGGAGGAGCTCTCCTGTTGGTCACTTACACCTACAACATGGGGATCTGTCCAGGTTGAGTATGGAGTTTTTCCAGAACAGCACGAACTTCCTCAGGATTGTAGTTCCAAGGACCAGATTTACCCTGCAAAAGAAACAAATCATGGATTCCCACATTTCCAACGTTCAAGGAATATGCATGTCCGGAGCTTGATTGTGAGACGGATGTGAGCTGATGGTGTCTATGCAGCCCAGGCGATAGCAGATGCAGCCGTGGGGTGGATCAGACCTCCCAAGGAAAGTGTGTTGAGTGGCACTGACATTTACCTGGAAGACTGGACAGAGAAGTAGGCGGAGACTGGAGACAGTAACGTGGCAGTTTTAGGAGAAAAGGCTCTATACAAATAAACTCTTCGTCCAGCCTCAGACCTTCAGACCTGCCTTTCCTCTTTTCCAGTCCTCACGTCGTGTTCTCCCATTCGATAGCAGTGCCTCCTCTGCCCATCCAAGCCCTCTGTCCTAGCCGAGCCCCCTCACCCACTACTTGGGCAGCTGCCGTGCTTCCCAGCCATCCCAGGCGCTGCTCCCTGCAGCCCATTCTCCACCCTGTAGCCATTGATCATATCAAGTAGAGGTCAGATTGTTCCTCTTCCCCCTCAGAACCCTTCCTTAGTGCTTCCTTGCTGTACAATGAAGACCAAACTCCTTGGTCCAGAACTCTGCCCCCTTGGTCCCCAGTTCCCTATTCACAGCCTGCTCTAATATGCCCCCGTGCCTTTGGCCACCTTTTTCTCTCTATTTGTGGTGATTTTCCCTCACCATGCTTGCTTGTCTGGCTCCTTATGCTTTCAGGCCCAAACATGCCCCAGCTTCTAAAATGCCTACCTTTCCTCAGGGCTTGGAAAACCTGCAGTCTGGGAGCCTCATCAGTCTTGATATGGCTGCCTCTGCGTTATAACAGCCGGATGGAAATGTTGCAGATTCAGTGGTTATTTGGTTCACAGAGCAAGCAACATTTACTGTTTGGCCTTTTACAAATCCTGCTCTGGAGTCTCAGCACTTGCGACACTGTACTTCTACTCTTATTTGGGTCTTCCTTGTCCCCAGACCATGAGCTCCTTGAAGTAGAGTGGGAGTCATTTTTAATTCATTTTTGTGTTTCCAGTACTTGTACCAGGATTAAACTGGTGTTGTGGGGGGAACCTCAGTCCTGCCAGGTTAGAACCATGATGAGGGTAGGGTGGAGAACCTGTGTCCTGTACTGTGGCCCTTGCACCCTGAGGCAGGGTATGTTAGAATTGAATCAAAAGCCTTCCTAGTGACTGGGAGAGTCAGTTCCCTTCTCTGAGGATCATTTATAAAATGGAAACATTTTATATCTCTCAGCTTAACAGCAAACCAGGCCTGGTCTAGTCTGGGTTCAGAAGGCAGCCAGGAGGTTGCAGCTAGGGGCTTCCATGAACATCATTTCATCCCCAGTGAGGTGGGGACCAATCTCATTTTGCAGAAGAGGAAACAGGCTACAAGAGGTAAAAGGACCACTTATGGTCACATGGCTAGCAGTGATCTGAATCCACATCTCCCTGATACAAAGCCCTCTGTTGACCCACTTCTCCCACCCCATTCCCCCTGCACCTAGGTCATCACCTTATAAAGGATCCTGCCTGCCTGGAGTACATAGAGTCTCTCAGGCAGAGCGGCATAGAGCTGGCTGCCCTGGTTCTGCATGGTGTCCACCACCACAGGGCACTGGGGGCTCTTGGCCAGCAGCAGGTGGGCTGCCCGCATGCGGTCCTGGAGGTTCTGGTGCTGCCTGATGTCCACATTGTTCTTAAAAGCCCAGCCATCTGCAAGAGAAAGGTCAGATTCTGAGGCCCCACAGATGTGGCACACACTTTCTGCACAGCAAACACCACCCGCTTTTAGTGAAGGTCCCAGACAGAGGTGCCCTTGGCCATGATAATGACCCAATTTCTTATGAGAGGTGAATATACAGGGTCACCTAGGGATTTATCAATCGATCCAGAACTGGCCTCAGCTCCTCACTGTGAGAAACTCCAACGGATACATGATTCGTGATCATTAATGTGCATACGGATCACGCGGGGACATTGTTAAGGGAAGCTTAGCAGCCTCGGAGGAGTGGCACTCAGAGTCCACCCAGGATACCATGGCCAGTGGTGCCTGGATCACACTTGGAGTGGCGGGAGTCTAGAGCTGTGGCTGTCTAAGTGTGTGGTCCCAGCCCAGCTGCAAAAGGATACTGTACCTTATAGTAATGCAAATTCTCAGGCCCTACATTAGGCTACTCAGGAGTAGGGCCCAGCAATCTGTATTTCAGTAGCCGTCTAGATGATTCTAAGGCACAGTGAAATTTAACTGTTGTAGAACCTAGCCATCCTCTTCTATTTGTCTCCACAATATTATTTCCAAAATGCAAATTGCCATGTCATTCTTCTGCTTAGACCTTTCAGTGGCTCCCTATCAGCTCCAAGACACATCCCAGGCTCCTCAGTGACCCCACTCAAAGCAAATGGGTGAACTACTTGGATTCCTTGACTCACCAACCCCTCAATCTGTCCCTTGCCTTCACCCTTATTTTGTTACAGTGGCTGCCTCATAACAAGCCACTTAACAGTGAGCTCATAGCCAAGTACACCTGCTGGCCTGGCCATGGCCCTTATTCTCATCCTCTCTTACACAGTCCTCCTGCCTCCTAATCATGTGCCTTCCAGCCCCTCATCCTGCCTGTCCTTTAGAGACTCAGCACAATGGACCTACGAGTTGAAAAATTGACCATTTGATGAACCACTGATGGCCTTACTGCATTGCTGGGCAAAGTAATATTAGGTTCCCTCGGAAGCTACGTGGCCTGTGTGTGCAATCACTGTTGCTTCTGTGGGTGATAAAAGTTGATTAAATCTACTGGTAGAGTAGGTTCTACCTCCTCAGGGCTTCCAGGTCATCTTGCTCAGTACTTTTCCCCCAAGTTATACCAGCTCTGTAAAGAGATTCACAGCAAGACTCAAATGTTTGGCCAGCGCTGACAGCCTTGTTACTTGTCATCAAATTTGTTGATGACGATAACCAGTTTATCTGTACCATGGTAGGGCAGCCTCACCTTCCACTGGCCCACTAGGGTTTCGTAGCAGCCTCCCCTGGGAGGCCAAGCAGGGTTTCTCAGTCCCAAGAAACAGCTGAGAACATGAAGACCAAGGGGAGGAGCAACTTTCCTCCTCTGTAGAAATTTGAGTTTCTTATAGGAAGGAGCTGTGTGTCTCTTGTCCCTGGCCTGGGCACATGACAGGTGCTCATTAAATACTGTCAACTGAACAGTTCTGAGGGAGGTGTTGTCATCCCATTGTTGTGGTAGAGAATGAGGCATGACAAGTAAATTGACCAAGGTCACATGATCAGCTTGGGCTACAGCTGGATTCATACCCAAAGAGTGTGATCTTCCTATTATACTTTGTGCCTCCCTGGATTTTCCTGGACAAATGTGTGTGAGGAAGAGCAAGGTGACTGATTTGGGCTACTGACCCCAGACCTCCTAGTTTTGGTGGACCCTGGCTGTATACATTTTATTTCTGAGGTTCCAGCCATGCCCAGTCCTGTCTGACTGATAGAAGCAAGGTCCCTGGAAAAGGAGATAGGGAAGAAGAACTGTGTAGTAGGAGGCGGAAGGCACCAAAGTAAGAAACTGGACCATGTCAGGAAGAGTCCAGGAAGCCTTTCCTCTGTAGCTTGAGGTAGACAGCTCTGGTTCTAGGAAGGGTTAAACCTGCCTGTCTAATTTTAGGGAAACAAGAAACAGGTATCAGGACCAGGAAGCACGATTAGTGATGATCTAACCACTCTTACTGCAGTTTGCAGTTTGTTCTTTGGGAGATCAATGCTGGATCCTAGGACCTGTTACTCAAAATATCCCTGGGCCAGCAGCCTTGGCCATACCTGGGTGCACCCCATCCCCTCCTGAGCCAGCACCTGTATTTCACTCAGATCCCCCAGGTGATTTGTTCATATATTCAGGTTAGGGAAGTGCCTCCTTAGAGTGGACAGAAATGTCCCCAGCCTCCCCAGGAGGCTGAATAAGCTTTGACTGAGCTGCAGCTGTCAGCTGTGGTGATATCAGGACTTTGTATCTTCTCAGCAGAGGACGCCAAAGTCACTGTCCTAAGTCCCTTTCTTTAACTGATGGCTGCTGCTCTCACAAAGGGTGTGTGTGTGTGTGTGTGTGTGTGTGTGTGTGTGTGTGTGTGAGAGAGAGAGAGAGAGAGAGAGAGAGAGAGACAAAGAGACACATTGTGCTGGTGTTTGCTCTCCTGTTCCCTTGGCTGGATTTTTTAAAAACGGCTTTATTATAGAAATTTCAAGTATACAGAAGATAGAATAGTATAATGAATCTCATCGTGTACCTCTTACCCTGTGATGATATTTAAAATTGTCCCAAAACTTCAATGAGGGATTTTAAATTGCCCCCAAATCTTAATGAGTACAGAAGCTGCAGTTAAATGAAGACAGTATTGAGTTTAAAGCAGCTTTCAACCCTTTGAGACTTGAAATCAATATGTAGCAGGCTTGGTGTGGAGCTCCGGAGTATGTGTTTTCCACAAACAATCCAGGTGGTTCTGTCACTAAGAGATCCAGAGACCACACTGGAAAAACACTACTGGGCTAACTTGGCTGAAAATTCTTCCGCGTGATCTCTTTGCATACAGCACATAGACAAGCCAGCAAGGCCAGTATCGGCCCGAACACACATTCGCCCAGTGGCTGCCCCACCTTGGGGGTGACAAAGACTCCGCAGAGTGCTGTACGAGAGCCACAGCTTGCACTGCACCTTTCCCCATCTTACTCCAGAGGTGACTCCCCAGCCTCGTAAACCTTCTGGCCCTCTTCAACCTCAGGATTTGAGACTTGGGCCAAATTCATGGGTTCTGTCCTCATGAAGATGAGAGAGATAGAGATGTGTCCAATCTTGACACAGTACCTGTAGGGACATTTCTGTCCACTGTAAGGAAAACTATCTCACTTCTCAGCTTTCTCAGCAAGAGAAAGGATTTCCTGTGGAATGGCGATGATCAGTGACCACCAGTTAGGAGCTGGAGGGAGGATTTCCCACCCAGACCAAAGTTGGCAACAAGAGCGGTTCTCTAGGTGTGGTCCTCAGACTAAAAGTGTCAGCATCCTTGGAACACATCAGAATACCGGTTTTCAGGCTATCCCAGAGCCACAAAGGCAGTCTGTTTGTAGCCAGTGCTCCAGTGGCTTCCATTGCTCACAAAAGGCCTCAAACTACTGACCCAGATGATCCATAATGTCCTTCTGAATCTTAGTCTCTCCTGATTTCCCTATTTATCCGTTCGGGATGTTGGAATGCAGAGGAGCATAGTGGCCCATGCCTGAAATCCCAACACTCTGGGAGGCTGAAGCAGGGTGATCCCAAGTTCAAACCCTGCCTGGGCAAGTTAGTGATTTAGTGAGATTTCATCTCAAAATTAAAAAAAAAAAAAAAGGCTGGGTATGTAGCTCAGTGTGAAAGCAATGGGTTTTATTCCCAGTATCCCCTACTAGAGAGAGGAGAAAAAAAAAAAAGAAAAGGGATAAAGTTGGAATGCACCCCAGACAAGCCCGATGTCTCCAGGTCTTCCCAAATGTGTGCCTGGTTGGAAGCAGACTGGTAAGAGGGAGAGACTGGAAGGTGGTGTGCGCCCAGTGAATAGCAGCTCCCCTCCTCCCCCCTTCCTCCTCCTTCTCCTCCTCCTCTTCCCTTCCCCTGAAGGGGCAGGGGTGGGGTGGGGTGGCTGGGAGGAAGGGATGGAGAAACTGGGTGGGAAGAGGTAGAGGAGGAGAATCCTTCAGTACCTGAGGCGTGCGCTTCTTCAATGTAAATAATGAGAAAATCTGCGATGAGATGAAAGTCTTCAATAAGTCTCTCAAATTGGTGAAATTTGAACATAAATGAAGGTCAGGTGCAACTTCCAAAATTCAGAACCAGTGGCCTGTTGCCTAAAACAGAAAAGAAACCACCCTAAACCAAGAATCTATACCATTTTCTTTGGCAAGCTGCCCCTTCCCTCTTGCGTTCAATGCTGCTACCCTTCCTGTCCCCTAAGGGCGAGTACCCAGCACAGTGCGGGGACCAAAGCCTAGCAAGGACTGCTTAGCAGGGCTGGAGCTGGTCATTACTTTTCTAAAATGAGAGGGTTTTGTTAGGAGGTCTCAGTGGACCACTTGCAGACACAGGGTGTTAGTAAGAATGATGAATGAGGAGTCTCTTTCATGCAGTTTATCAGACAGGCAAGGGTCCATTCTCTGTGTGATGTTATCGGTGATACTTCAAGGTAGGTAAAGAAAGTTCATAGACTTGCTGCAGGATAAAGAGCAGGTTGGTGGTGAAGTGAAATGAACACTTGGGCTTTTGGATTCTCAAGTCAGTGCTCCTTCTATTCAAAACACCTCAGTTCCCTCATCCATAATTGGACAAAATAATAATACATGCTCGACAGGATTGTTCTGATGATGTAAATTAGCACCGATAAGGGGCTTAAAATGTTGCCTAACTCCTAGCAGATGCTTAATAAACACAAGATATTACTATAGCTCTTACCTCCTCCCTGAGCTCTGAAGCAGGGAGACTGGGAAGGAGCTGCTGAAAAATGAAAATGCAGGGCCCCTTGTTCAAAAAGCAGGGGCAAGTGCTATTAACTTCATTAAAATAGAGAGATTTCCCCTCTCTTCTGCCATCTTTCTCTTGACCTGGCATAGTGTTTTTCAGTTGCCATTCAGTGTCGCATTCCCCTGGCACAAGGAAATGCACAGGGTGAAGTCTTACTGTCACCCTGTAGCCCCGCAGCCAAGTAGGCATGTGCATGTGGGCCTGTGGCCTCAGGCCACCAGCTTCCTCCTCCCTCTGGCCACTAGGCCCACATAGCATGTGCCAGCCAGGAGCACAGGAATCTCGCCAGACTTTTGCCCTTCCTGCCCACACACCACTCCAGCTCACAGTGTGCAGGCCATGCTGGGCACCCTGATGGGGGAGGGGAGGCCAGTGGCTTCTCCCTCAAGGTAGCTCAGCCACTTTCCAGACTGCACCATGGCACTAAGTCCAGGATGGAGATGACAACCCCTGTGCCCTGCCTCAAGACTCTGAGGGATGCCCACACCTGACAATGACCTTTCCCATTCTCAGGCCCAGGCCCTTTCTTGGGCCAGAAGGCAACAGCATTCATTGGGTGAGAACAAGGAAAAGGGCCTTTGACAATGAGACCCAAGGAGGTAGGGAGCTCAGCCGGAGGCAGGACACCATGGGAGACAAGGCTCCCAGCCCTCAGAGACTTTGGTCCCATTGGACTTCACTTATGGAGTACAGATTCAAAGATAAAATTATGAAGAATTTTAAGACAACTGCTGTACAACACTAATCCCCAACTATGAGGCCCTTCTGAGTATGGGGCCGTGCCCAGGAAGCCAGGGCCGGAGCCTTGTGTAATTAATCCCCTGGCCTTGTTAGGAGCTGCCAGAGCCCAGTGTTTTATTATGGCTAGAGCTGAAACGTCATTGAGCCCTCACTATACAACTATTGGATCATGTGCATTAAGTGTCCACACTCCCCAGGGTACTCATTGCCCCTTGAGCACTGGGATTCTATCTGTGTCTCTGCCTGCATACAGTTTGAAGTCTATTTAATGGGGAGACAGGTCAAAAGCAAGTAAACATGGAAATGAAGTTATTTCAAATACTAAGTGTCACAGAAGATACCATAAAGGAGTGGCCTACGTGTGTGTGTGTGTCGCAGTGTGTGTGTGTCTATGTGTGCTTTTGAGACAAGTCCTCACTGTGTAGTTCATGCTTGTCTTGAACTTACTATGTAGCCCAGGCTAGTCTCGAACTCATGGCATCCTCCTGCCTCGGCTTCCTGAGTCCTGAGATCACAGGCATGTGCCACCATACTCAGCAAGCGAGGTCTACTTTAGACAGGGAGGCCAGGGAGGGGTTCTAGGGGGCTGCCATTTAACCTGAGAAATGAAGGTTAGCAAAGAGCCAACCATGGGCAATTCTAGGCAAAGTGATTTTGTGTACAAAGTTCCCAAAGAGGAACAGAGCTTAAATTGATCTAGGTCCTTAAGATACTGGCTGAAAACAGGCAAGAGAAGCAATAAGAGAGATGACTGAAGAGCAAGGAGCCAGAGCAGGAAGCTCTCATGACCTTGGTGAAGAATCCAGATTTTATTCTCGGTGTAAAGGGAAGTCATGGAAATACAAAGCAAGAGTCGTGGATATTGTTGCAATTTTAGCTGCTCCTACATCTCCTTTCTATTTGGAATTCCCTTTTGTGAGCTATTGATAAGAGAGTGTGCCCAGTGATGTTTGACTCTGAGTTTCCTGTCTGCCAAGTAAAAGGATAGGCAGTTAGTTATGTATCCCTAATCCTTGGTCTGTAATGGGGAGAAGGTAAGATGGTTTCTCGGGGATGCAAAGCTCTGCTGCCTTTAGTTCACAGCTTATTTGCATGGGAGGCCCCGGGAGGTGCTGAGTGGGCCTCCGCCCTGCTGGTTGACTGTGGGATGATTTCTCACTCAGGTTATGGGGAGGCCCAGGCCTCAACAGGGTAGGCTCCAAGGGTAGTCATGGACAGGCTGGTCATTGGACTCCAGTAAACCCTGGGAGTCACTCTTTAAACAAGAAAACTCCTGACTGCAGGTCAGGACCAGGTCTAAATATTAGCTGTCTGGAATTTTGTTTTTAATTGACAAAAAATTCAACACCTGCTGATTAGGACCCTGCAAGAAACAGAGCCATTTGTTTAATTATTTATCATGTGGCTGGCTACAGTGATCAGTATTGAGAGCAAAATTTTAACTTCGTTCCCCACTTTCCTGGAAGTAGTGAGAGGAAGGATGGGAACAGGAGGGTGGATCTGCAGTGTGCTGGCACCCGGCCCATGTCCACAGGCCACAGGGCAGAGAACACCGTTTTAAGAATGTCTGGTAAGGACTGTCAAGTTGTGTAAGTGGGAAAAGAGTTCTGTAGTACAGCTGGAGTAGGGCTGCCAGACCAATAAATTAGTCCCTATGCCAGGCTCTCTCAGCAGAGAATCCCATTTATAGTTACTAGACAACCCTGCCTCAGTCTACTTGGAGAGATTTCAGGAGATTTTAAACAGGGGCTGAATTAAAGTCAGTTTCAGCTGAACTCTTAAGTACTCAGAAAATAAATCATCTGTGCATTGTTTTCTGCACAAGATGCCAGTTAATCAATGTTTTACTCTGTGTGTGTGTGTGTGTGTGTGTGTGTGTGTGTGTGCTTGAACATGGACATGCACAGGATAGGAGATGGCTGAGAATTGCTCTGAGCCCCTGTTGTCTTAAGCAATGCTGAGAGTCCCTGAGGAGTCAGAAGGCAACTTCTGGCTTACTAAGAACTTGCTGTGTGGCTCTAAACAAGTCATTTACCTCTTTGGGGCTTTGTATCTGAAAAATGAAGGAGCTGTTTTTGGTTATCTGTAAAGGATCTTCTAGGTCTCCCAGTCTGTGGCTCCAAAATGAGTTCAGAGTTTATACCCCAAATATATGACAGAGCATTTTAATGGCCTGGCAGTTCTTCAAGCAGGATGTCTTTCGAATAAGCAGAACTGATCACATTACCTCTGTACTGAAAATCCTTCCAGAACTCACCAACTCCCTCAGGTCATGTCAGGTGAGACGCAGAAGTCCCCTGCTCTGGTCCTTGACAGTATCCTTAACCTCATCTTTAGCCCGTCCTGCCTCTTGCACCCCATTTCCACCAAACTTAACAGTACTTCTCTGCATCCCAGGCCTCTGCTGTTCCTCACCGTTCTGCCTCTCTCTAAACCCTTTTTCTTCACTCACCCCAAGTCTTCCCTGTCCCTAGACACTCAGCTGTCCTCCAAGCAGCCTTTCTTGGCCACTTCCTTAACCCACCCAATGAGGGTCCCTTCTCCAGAGCCTTCTGCTCCGCTCTCACTACTCTGTCTCCCACTTTGGGTCCTGAGGTCTTCTGGACAGAGGCTAGTGGTGTTTATTTCTGAATTGCCAGCACCTATTTCAGGACACTCTAAGTCAAAGTGCTGAAAGTGGATGCCAATTTAGAAATGAAAAGCTTTGGTTTTGTCTCACTCCCCTCTTCCTGTCCTCTATCAGTCTCAGTTGAAGCATCAGAGATTGGAGACAAACTGAACTCTTTCTAACTGAAAATGGACAGTTAAAGGATGCCAATGAACTCTGTGAAGCAGCCCGGAGGCAAGTTGGTTTTCAGGGAACCAATCTTCAGATGACTGACAATCAGCATTTTGTCCTGTTCTGCAAAGTGCTTGGCCCTTGGCAGATACACCATAAAAGTTAGTTGTTATTCTCATTGCTGTCATTATCAGCACTTATTTGATGAAAGTTAATTGAATAGATTGAGATCTTTTGGGCCGGGGATTTAGCTCAGTGGTTCGGTGACCTGCCTTGGAAGCGCAAGGACCCGAGTTCAATCCCTGGTACCCCCCCCAAAAAAAGATTGAGATCTTTTGTGTACTGTAGTTTAAAATCACAAAAGAAACTATTGTCCTTTTCTCGGTTTAATGCACTCTTCCCTCTCACACTATAAAAACCCTTCTCCTCCTTTAAGGCCTAGTTCCTAAGCTGCCTCTTCCAGGAAACCTTCTGAAATCATACCTTCACAGCCTCCTCCACCCCACAAGGCTCTCAGGATTTATTACATCATCTGCTGTGTGGAGCCACAAAGTCCTTGAGCCAAGGAACAGGCATTTACCTGAGGGCCTGGCACACAGGAGGTGCTATGCTTTTTTTGTTTTGTTTTGTTTTGTTTTTTGTACTGGGGATCAAACTCAGGCCTTGTGCTTGCCAGGCAGGTGCAGCACCACTGAGCTAAATCCCCGGCTCTTGGGAATGCTTATTGAGGAACACAGGGATTCTGGGTGTGACCTGTCCCTCACTGGCTCTATTACCTCAGCCTCTCAGTTCTCCATTCCCTTCCATGACGAGAGGATTGGAGAAGGTCAGCAATTCCCAAAGAGTGTTCTCTGAAACTGGTGCAATGAGCATAGGCATTTTCTCAGGCGGAGAGAGGGGAGTGTGTGTGTGTGTGTGTGTGTGTGTGTGTGTTAGCAAAGCCAGTCAAGGCTGTGTTAAGCAAAGATTTTTTTCAAGTTCTATGTATTTGCTTTTAAGCTTCAAGTTTTCTCACAGCCTTTTATACACTTACATGTATTATGAATTCCCAGAAGTATGACAGGGAATGGGAGCTTTATATGGTAAAGCCTATCTGGGGGACGAGGGTTCCAAAGAATATGGCAGGAAAACCCAATTAGCCAGCTGCCTCAAGGGCCTTCTGTGTGTGCCTGCTGCTAGGCCCTGGGGTAGCGTGCTGAGGACGGCTGAGGTCAGTCAGACACAGCCCTTACTTAAGTCTCTCTGTTAGGCAGGGATCTTGGGTAGCCAGATGCTTGATAGAAAGAGCAGTGTCTAGGAGACGTGTGAATAGGGAGCCTGCATCCAGGACAGAGAGCATGGCTAACCACAGGGATCTGAGTTGTCATTAGGATGAGGCTGAAGATATGTTCCCTGAGGCATGAGGGATGTGAACACTGGCCGAAGACAAGGGTGCTCTGGACCAACCACAGTGCTGGCAGGGCAAAGAGAAGGGATAGCACAGGATAAAGGAGGCCCGCATCTATCTTGGGAAATGAGAGCCTTTGAGGCCTTGAGGGTAAAACTGGGGGGAAAGTCAGAGCCTGACCCCAGAGGACCTTGGATGGAAGGCTGAGCCTGTGCCTCACCACAGTTCAGATGCGGGCTGCAGAGAGTGCTGAGCTGGGGTGGCCTTAGAGAAGACCAGTCTGGCAGCCACCTAAATCTGGGTGGGAAGAAAGAGCAAGAGGAGGAGAAGGAGGTCCTGGTAAGAAGAGAAGTGAGTGATGAGGTCTTCAAGAACCCATATATATGGTGCTAGTTTGCCTGGATCCGGGGGAGGGAAGGGCTGAGAAGAAGGGAGGGAGAGAAAAAGCATCAAGAGTTTACTGAGCAACTGCCACGCACCAGCATGAGGCCCAGGGTGCCATCGGGGGGGCAGTCAGAGCTATCGTCTCCACCTGTACAAAGTTTGCAGCTAGTGAGGGCAACACACTTAAGTCAATACCCACACATGATTGTAACTGGCATGGCTTTAATTTTTTTTTTTTTTAAGTTTAAGATGTTAATCAAGCACATAGAAGGGAGAACCTGGCCTGGGAAGTTGGGATTGGCTTCTTGAGGGAAGTGCCACTGAGCAGAAGCCTGAGGATGAAGAGGATTTCAGCAGGTACAGGTGGACCCAAAGGGCCCCAGGAAGAATGGATATCACGGTAAGAATGATATTCAAGGGAGTGAAGGCCACCGTGGGTGGCTCATGGTTTTAGTGCCTGGGAAGGCGCTGATGCTGCTCAGAGAAACAGGATCCCGGAGAATTCCTGGTTCCCTGAACCCTCAAAAGGAGTAGCTAGAGTAGTAGTGGAATTCCCGGCACCCGCTCCATCCCCCTCCAATGCCTTGCAGCAGGCGCCTGAACACGGAGCAGCCTCCTGACCTTGCATGAAGTCCCAGATGGTGCGCTTCTGTCCGGAGAGGCAGACCACCGAGCAATCTGGGGCCAGACCCCCTAGCTCAGCTGTGTCCTCCAGCCGCTGCCAACGCACCTTCAGGACAAACCAGAAATACTGGATGCTGAAGAAGGTTGGGATCCAGTTGTCATGGGAAAACTGGGGATTCCCGGTCATCCCAGTCTTCTGGCCCATGGCCAGGATGTTCTTCTTGATCCTCGCTGGAAACAGCGTTATTAGCACTTTGCCCATGGCTACCTCCATGGCCACCTGCACGAGCACCCAGAGCCTCTTCAGCCATAGCCCTGGCCGGGGCAGCCCCATCTCTGCGGCACAGCTGGTGCTGGCTCTGAGGCTGCAGCCAGGCAGTGCGGGGCGGAGCTGAGCAAAGGTACAGAACAGAGCAGCCAACCCCACACAAGAGGCAGGTGTCAGGGCAGGAAATGTTTGCTTTTCTGTCAATAAAAGCAGAAGATTCCAAACCAGCTGCACAGAGGTCTGTTCTAATTTACTGGATTTTAGATTCTGTTTCTTGACTTTTGAGATATTTTTGGATTGGGAGATCACAGATCTTAAATTTTCCCTCTGATTAAAATTTAAAAACAAGTACTTAAAAAGATCCACACATAAAGGGACCCTGTTTAAACATTATATTGGGAGTGAATAGCTTCCAATGTTAATTATTCTTTTAGTAAGCTAAATGGTTCTTTTACTAATGGATTATAGTCACCTCCCTCACAACTTTCAGCTGGTGGTTGAGTATTTCTGGAGGCAGAGCCCTTGCCAGGGGATAAGGATCTGGACCCTCCTGGGGCAGGGACAGAGCTGGGGCCATCCCCAAGGAGATCTGGGACCTGCAACCCCCTTCAGGACCTCTCTACTCTCCCGGAGGTCAAGACCTAGTGCAGACAAGGGACAAGTAAACAGAAAATTAGGGAGAGGGGAGAGGCAGATGACGTGGGAGGCTAGGGGAGTGTGGAGAAGGGGTGGCTAATTGTGTTTAGAGAAGTCAAGAGGACTTCCCTGTGGAAGTGATGTCTCTGTGAAACTTGAAAGACAGCGCACAGTCATCCAGGCAAAGCAAGGTTAGTGATCCCATTGGGAGGAAATAAAGGGCCAAAGGCTGAAAAGCCAGAGATAGAACACAGCTCAGAAGCTCAGAGTTGGAAAGTAACACATCTAAAATCACTTCGTTTTTGAAACAGAGAAACTGAAGCCAAGAAAAGGGGAAGTGTCCTGCCTGCGGCCGGTTCTGGTCTCAGTAATCTCCAGGTATTAGTTTACCCCTCCCAAAGGCATTTACATACCTAAATTCTCTCGGGGTGTCCCTAAGGGTGGGTGGCACAGATGACTGGAAGGATGGCACGTAAGCTCCAAAAAGGTGACAACCCTAGGCTCTGGAATCTAATAGTCTTTATTACATTAACTTTTGGTTTGGTTTGTTTTTTGAGACAGGGTCTTACTATGTAGTTTAAGCTAGCCTTCAACTCACTATGTAGCCCAGGTTGGCCTAGAACTGCCGGCGACCCTCTTGCCTCGGCCTCCCCAGTGCTGGGATCACAGGTGTACGCCACCATACTGGGATTGCATGAACTTTATTGAAGAGGGAACAAAAAAGTTCCAGAAGATGTTCCATTTTGGAGCATTTGACAGCAAATGTCACATGTGATACCCACAAAGTACAGTACCTACCTCTTATGTGCTGATTTTTTTTTTTTTTTTTTACCATATACAAAGAACTTTTACATCCTTGAGATTGTTCAGGCTTTTATTTTCTAATTCTGTCTCTCTCTCTCTCTCTCTTCTTTAGGTTCACAGAAAAATGGAACAGAAAATGTAGGGAGTTCCCACACACGCCCCACTCTCAAATCCACATGCCTCCCCATCGTCATCATCTTGCACTTGGGTGGTGACGTGTTACAGTCAAGGAACCTCGGCAGACACAGCACAGGACCTTACATCCATAGGGCACGCGAGGGTTCACTCTCAGTGTTGTACGTTCTGTGGGTCTGGACAAACGTATGCTCATGTGTGCCCTCATAATAGTACCACGCAGAGTGGTTTTGGAACCGTGAATCCATATCCATTGCTCACATTCTAGAAGTCCAATGACTCAAGGACAGTTTGGGGAATAAAGGAAAAGATATATTCAGAGAGCTAGCAAACCAAAGAAGAGGGGAGCTCTCACTGACAAAGTGCATCTTGCTTAGGGTTTTCAAGGAAAGGCTTAGACAGTGTGGAGAGGCGTGTTGGCCGGCGTGCACCAGGATAGTTCCAAAGTCCAGGGTAGCTGCACATTTTGGGCAGGCTGCTCTTCTGACACACAGGCTGCTCTTATGTGTTGGTCACTGGATTTTCTAGGTGCTGTAAACCTAAAGAAAAGTTATAACTAGAAAGTCTCATGACTCGTGTTTTTTCAGTTTCTTTTCTTTTCCCAGGAACAGTATCATCATTAGGGTACAAAAAGCAGCCTTTGTCTGGAAAACAGGATGACAGCAAAAGGCTACTTTTCCACCCGGAGGACAGTGGAGGAGACAGAGAAAGAAGGGCTCTCCCTTGGAGGACAGGGAGATGACACTTGTTGGAGGATAGATTTTCATCCATGGGGTGGCTCCAGTTAAGGTGTCATCTACAGCAAAGCTAGGGGGAAAACTACTAATGAAGTGTAGACGTGTGACTCCCAAAATTAGTGACTTTTTTTTTCCAGTACTGGGGCTTGAACTTGGGGCCACTGAGCTACATTCCCAGCCTTTTATTTTTTTATTTTGAGACAAGGTTTTTCTAAGTTGTGAGGGCCAGGCTAGTCTCTGGGCTGGCAATCCTCTCACCTCAGCCTCTCAGAGTTGGGATTACAGGTGTGCACCACCACGCCTGGGTCCAAAATGTGTGCATTTTAAGAGTAAACTAAGGGTAAATGGAGCTGGAAAGTTTGTTTAGATTCTTCCTTGCTAACAGTTTTACTACCCTGAAAAATCTCTTGTTCTCTATTCATTCTTCCTGTTTACTCCAACCCCTGGCACACATGGACCTTTTTACAGTCTCCACAGTTTCGTCTTTTTGAGAGTGTCGTATACCTGGAATCATACAGTATAAAGCTTTTTCAAATTGGCTTTTTCTACTTAATAAAATGCAATTATGTTTCTTCCAAGTCTTCATCATTTGATAATTCATTTATTTTTGTGCTAAATAATGTTCCATTGTCTAGACTTGCCACTGTCTATTCATTCGCCTACTGAAGGACATATTCGTTGCTTTCAAGATTTGACAATTATATGCTGGGTGTGGCAGCGCACGCCTGTAATCCCAGGGAGGCTGAGGCAGGAGAATCGCTGTGAATTTTAGACCAGCCTGGGCCACATAGTGAGTTCCAGGTCAGACTCAACTACATAGTGAGACCCTGTCTCAAACAAACAAACAAACAAACAAAGATTTGACAATTATAAACAAAGCTATAACACCATGTGCAGATTTTTATGTGGATATAAGTTTTCAACTCATTTAGAGAAACAAATGAGGATAATTGCATAGATTACATGGTGGGAGTATGTTTAGTTTTGCAAATAACCACTACCCTGGCTTTTGAAGTGGCCCTACTCTTGGGCTGGGGATTTAGCTCAGTGGTTCTGCCACCTGCCTCACAAGCAGAAGGTTCTGAGTTCAATCCCTGGCACAAAAAAAAAAAAAAAAAAAAAAAAAAAAAGGCCCTACTCTCTTGCATCCCCAACAGTACATTAGAGCTCCTGTTGATCCACATCTGTGCTAGCATTTGATGTCAGTATTTTTCATTTTTGCCATCCCAATATGTGTGTGTGTGTGTGTGTGTGTGTGTGTAGTGGTAGCTCTTTTTAATTTTAATTCCTTAATGACCTATGAGGTAGAGCATCTTTTTATATATAGATGCTTTTCAATTTATGAGGAAGCTATGTCCTGATAAATCCCTTGCAAGTTGAAAATGTCGTAAGTTCAAGATACATTTAATTCATCTGTGATAGTCAAGTGTAGTGTCAATTTGAATGAGAAATGCCCAGCGGATTGGCTTAGCACAATTCTGGGTGTGGCTGGATGATGGATTCCCTGAAGAGGGAAGACTCACCCTGGGTGTGGGTGGCACCAACTAACAGGCTTGTAGCCTAGATGGAATAAAAAGGGACAGAATAAGGAAGCATCTGGTTTTTTGGAGGAGCTCCAGTCTTTGCCATCACCTTTGGAGGTCCGTCTCCGCACTTCCAATGCAGACTCTTCAGCCTTCCAGCATTACAGTTCCTTTCCAAACTTCGGGCAGTTCGCCTGGTGATACATTTTGCTGGAAGGGAAAAATGGCCAGATGTGCAACTATATACTGATTCAGAGGCTGTAGCTGGTAGTCTGGTCAGATGGTCAGCAACTTGGAAAATTAGTTACAAAGATATTTGGGGAAGAAGTAGGGGGATAGACCTCTCTGTATGGGCAGGCGATGTAAAGATATTTGTGTCCCATGTAGGTCCTCATCTGTGGGTAGCAGTCAACCTTTTTCTTCTGCCGCCCCTGTCATTGTCCAATAGGTTCATGAACTAAGTGGCCGTCGTGGCAGGGATGGAGGATATGCGTGGACTCAGCAACACAGACTTCCACTCCCAAGGATGACCTGGCTACAGCCACTGCTGAATGCCCAGTGTGCCACCAGCAGCAGAGACCAACAGTGAGTTCCGGATATGACGTCATTCCCCAGAGTGCTCCTCCTCAACCTCGCGGCAGGTTGACTATATGGGACAGCTTCCATCACAGAAAGTGTAGCACTTAGTCCTTACAGGCATAGACGCTTATTCCATGTATGGATTTTTTTTTTTAACAGTAGCAAAGTTTATTAAAGGTAGGAAAAGAAACAGGTTCTGCAGAGTGAGTTTGGGCAAGTTAAAGTAGGAAGAGAAGTACAGCTTACAGTGTGAGGGTGGGCCACTGCGAAAGAGAACACAAAATGGCCTCTAGGTATGGATTTGGCTCCCTTGCATGTAGTGCTTCTGCCAAAACCACCATCTGTGCACTCACAGCATGCCTTCTCCACCATCACAGTATATCACACAGCATTGCTTCTAAGCAAGGAACACACTGAGCAGCAAAAGAAGTGAGGTGGCGAGCTCATGCTCATGGAATTCATTGGTCTCACCATATTCCTCTCCAACCAGAAGCAGCTGGGTCGATAGAAAGGTGGAATGTTCTTTTTAAGATGTTATAGTGCCAGCTAGGTGGCAATACCTTACAGGGATGGGGAAAGGTTTTTCAAAAGCTGTATGTGCTTTGAATCGGTGCTCATTGTATGGTACCATTATCTCCCTTGGCCAGTAATAATGGAATCAAAAGATGGAAGTGGGAATGGTACCACTCACCATTACCCCTAGTGACCCACTAGCACAACTGCTAAGTCCTATTCCCACAACCTTATGTTCTGTTGACTTAGAAGTCTTAGGTCCAGGGCCGGGGATTTAGCTCAGTGGTTCCGCCGCCTGCCTCACAAGTGCAAGGACCTGAGTTTGATACCCAGTACCAAAAAAATAAAAATAAATAAATAAAATTTAAAAAGAAGTCAAGTTCAGAGTGTGGAAGGCTTGTATTACCTTCACTCCTTTGTCAAATATCTACTAACTATATTTATGTGGGGCTATTTCTGTCCCATTGAGAATTTTATTTATGCTTTTACCACTATCACAATCTTCTATTACTTTATAATAGGGCTTAAAATTGGTTATCATAAGTATGTTTCTTTAATTATTATGTTCAGTATTTTGGTTTTTGTTGTTGTTTTTTTCATCTCCTCATAAACTTTACAATCATTTTGTGGAAGCTATATCAACAAAATAATTTGCTAGAATTTGGCTTGGGAGGATGTTGAATCTGCCAGTCAAAGTGGGAAGGACTGACCACTTGACAATGTTGTTCTTATCCATGAACTTGGACTATGTCTCCATTTATTTAGTTATTTGATTTCTTTTAGCAAAATTTTGTAGTTTTCCTCATATAGATCTTGTTCATATTTTATTAGATTTATATTTAAATATTTATTTTTTGGATTCTAATACCAATGGTATTATGCCTTTAATTTCACATTCCAGCTGTTCATTGATGGTATATAGGAAGGCTGTTAACGCTTTTATATTTACTTTTTATCCTGCAGTGTTGCTATTGTTGCTTTTAGATCATAATGTCATCTGCAAACAAAAAATGGTTTATTTCTTCCTTCCCAATGTGTATAGCTTTTCATTTCTGGTTCTTGTCTTACTGTAATAACTAGAATTTCCATTTAATATTGAAAAGGAGCGGGGACAGGATATCCTGACCTTATTCCTGATCTTAACAGGAAAACTTCCAATTTTCACCATTAAATATAGTAAGCTGTCTTAGTTACCTTCCTACTGCTGGGACAGATTACCTGACACTTGCAATATAAAGGAGTTATCACAGTTTCCGTGGATTCATTTCACGGTTAGCTAGCTCCAAGGCAAAAACAGAATGGTGGAGGGGCCCAGCGGAATAAAGCTCCTTGTGTTTTTTGATTTATAAAGCTGTTCATGTTATAGTGACCAGAAAGCAGAAAGAGGAGAGGAGTCAGATACACTGTACCTATCCAGGTTGTGCCCCTAGTGACCCACCTCTAAAGAGGCCTCACCTAACAGCACACTCAGCTACTATACTCACTAGTTAAACCACAACATCAGTTGTATGATTTTTTTGTTGATATTCTTTTTTTAAATTTTGGTACCGGGCGGGGATTGAACTCAGGTCCTTGCACTTGCAAGGCAGGCGGCAGAACCACTGAGCTAAATCCCTGGCCCTGTTGATATATTCTTTATTAAGGAATAATTATTGAGGAAGTTCCCCTTTATTCCTAGTTTGGCGAAACTTTTTATCATGAATGTTGGATTTTTGTCAAATGCTTTTTCTGCTTCTATTGATATGGTCATGCTATTTTTCTCTTTCAACCTGTTGGTGTTGTGGGTTACATTAACTGATTTTTGAATGACAATCTAGTTTTGCATGCCAGAAATAAGTCTCACTTGGTTATGATGCATAATCTGTTTTATACATTGTTGGGTTTGCTACTATTTTATTGAGGATTTTTACATGTATGTTCATGAAAGACATGGTCTATAGTTTTCTTTTCCTGTAATTTTTTTTCTGGTACTGGGGATCAAACTCAGGACCTTGTGCTTGCAAGGCAGGCGCATTGCCACTGAACTAAAGCCCTGGCCCTTTTCTGAAATGTTTTTCTTTGGTTTTGGTGTTAGGGTAATGCTAGCTTTGTAAGAGTAAATTAAGAAATAATCCATCTTCTATATTCTCAAAGAGAATAGATGAATTGATATAATTTCTCACCTACTTTGTAGACTCACTAGTGAATTTATTTGGGCCTGATGTTTTTTGTTTTGGAAGATTACTAATTACCAGCTGAATTTCTTGAAAAGATATAGGCCTATTCGGAGTGTCTGTTTCTTCTTGCATGAATTTGCATAGATCGTGTCTTTCAAGGAATTGGTCTTATCTAGATTATCAAATTTGTGGGCAGAGAGTTGTTCATAGTATTTTTTTCTTATCTCTTTATTTTATTATTTTTAAAAAAATTTTTTGAGACAGAGTATCACTATGTAGTTGAGACTGACCTGGAACTCCTATGTAGCCCAGGCTGGTCTCGAACTCACAGCAATCCTCCTGCCTCAGCCTCCCGAGTCCCAGGATTACAGGTGTGCACCACCATGCCCGGCTTTTAGCTCTTTAATGAACATAGGATATATAGTGCTGTCCTCTTTTTTATTCATAAAGTAAAATTAAAATTTTGCCAGGCATAGTGGTTCACAATTCTAATCTTAGCACTCTGGAGGCTGAGGCAGGAGAAGTGCTGTGAGTTGGAGAGTTTGAGAATTTGAGTAAGACATTGTTTCAAAAAGCCCAAAATTTTTTAAATTAAAAACTTTAAAAATAAAAATTAAATGTTAGTATTAAATTTCTAAAATAAATTTTTATTATACTAATAATTTGTGTTTTACCTCTTTTTTAATCATCTTGGTAGTTTATTGATTTTATTGATTAGAAAGAGCCAGCTTGTTGGATTAGTATCTGCCATATTTGATATTATTTGCTATTCAGTGCCCTTGTTCTTTTATTTATTTATTTATTTTTGGTACTGGGGATTGAACTCAGGTCCTTGTGCTTGCAAGGCAGGCCAGCGAACCACTGAGCTAAATCCCCAGCCCCCTTGTTCTTTATTATTACATTCCACTCTTTCTCTACATTTTGTGGTTTAATTCAGCTGTTGTGTGAGTCCTTTTTCTTTCCTTTCTTTTCTAGCATATTAATTGTGCTGCACTTGCAATATACATTTATAGCTACTCCACGTCTAATTTCAAACAACACTATACAGATTCTCAAGGAGTGCAAACACCTTAAAATAGCAAAATATTTCTAATTCCTCTTTTCTGTCCCTTGTTGTTCACTGCTGTCATTCATTTCATTTATACATAGACATACACAAATAAATACATATATAAGCATGCTTAATCAAATACATTGTTTTTATTGTTTTGAGCAAAAAAGTTTTTATTTTACTGTTACTTCTTTCTCTAATGATCTTAATTTTTTAAATATAAATTTGAGTTTCTGACCCATGTCATTTTCTTTCTCTCTGAACTACCATTTATTGACAGGTAAGTCTATTGACAACAAATTCAATGGTAATTTTTTAATTTCCCTTTCACTTTTGAAGAAATTTTTTCCCAGAATACAGAATTATAGGTTGCTGTTGTCCTTGTTTTTTTCATCTCAACACAAAACCATTTCACTTCTATATGTGAACTCCCCTTCCACTGTTTTCAAGATTTATTTCTTTATCTTAGATTGTCTGGAGTTTGAATATAGAGTACATGTAGGTGGTGTGTGTGTGTGTGTGTGTGTGTGTGTGTGTGTGTTCATTGATTTTGCTTGATGTTTTCTGCATCTCCTAGATGTGTTGTTTGCTGTCTAATATTAATTCAGAGGAAATTCTCAGTCATTGTTTCAAATATTTTTATTTTTATCTGGTTTTTGTCCTGCTGGTCCTATTACACATGGTTATACCTTTTGTAGTTTTCTCACAGTCCTGGACAGTCTTCCTGCTTTTTTCATTCTTTCATCTGTTTGAAATTCAGTTTTGGATGTTTCTATTGACATATCATCCATCCTAAAGCTCAGAGATTCTTTCATCAATTGAGTTCAGTTTACTAATAAGCTTGTTCTTAGAATTCTTTATTTCTGGCATAGTATTTTGGATCCCTAGAATTTCTTTTTGACTCTTTGTTAGAGTTTTGAGCTCTCTGCTTTCAATACCCATCTGTTTATTTTTTATGTTGTTAGTCCTCTTAGCATGTTAATCATAGTTATTTTTAAACCCCTCTCTGACAATTCCGGCATTTCTGTCATATTTGACTCTAATACTTGCTCAATCTCTTCAAACTGTGTTTGTACTTTTTAGTATGCCTTGTAATTTTTGGTTATAAGCTAGACGTACTAGACCACTAGTAATGTGGTGGTAATGTGTCATGGATAGGAAGCATTCTGTAGTTCTGTGACTAGAGCACAACCTTTAATGAGCGTGGGCCTCTACCTGTGAACTTCATAAGTGTTTTCTTGATTGTCCCCTTTTTATGTGGGACAGGATGGCCAAAGGGGGCTGAATTTAGGTATTTTCTTTCTTCTAGTTCAGTTAGACTCTGATAAAACCCAAATAGGTCAGGCTCTGGTAAAATAGCTTTTTTTTTTTTTTTTTTTTGTGTCAGGGATTGAACTCAGGACCTTATGTTTGTGAGGCAGGTGGCAGCACCACTGAGCTAAATCCCCAGCCCTAAAATAACTTCTCTTGACAGGATGTCTTAACAGAATTTTCTGGCATATTTCAAAATCTTTATTTTCATCCTCTCTTTGCTGAAAGTATGAAGGGATTTTCCTCCAGTCTTCATGTGAGAACCCAGTGGAGATCCAGGAGGTAAATTTTACAAGTATGGATGGGTACACTCTGTTAAGTCTGTGTTTCCTGGAGTTCTCAATTCTCAGCCTTGTCTGCATTGAATCCTCATCAAGTCATCAAAAAGAGTTGAGGTTCCCTACCCTGGCAGTGATTTTTGCAGCGGCTTCTGCTCTGGGTCTCTGCTATGCCAGGGTATGAATTTTTGTATCCATCCGTCTGTCTCTCCAATGCTGGCAGTAATAATTATCTCTGTGGTCAGTTATCATTGTCAACCAGGGAAGCTCTGCTAAGCTCTGGTATCTAGGGTTTTTGATGGTTGACCACATAGGTATGGCTGATATTCTCACGTGTCTGACTTTTAGTCTCAGACTCCTCCAGGCATCAAACTGGTAGCACATGGCCTAAGATCTCCACCATAAATCACAGTTAGCATAAACTATCTGGCATGGTCCCAAATGTTAGATAAACAAGGTCAATTTCTTCCTTTCTTTTTTTTGTTCTTTTTCTCCCCCCCGCTCTTTTTTCTGTACTGGGGATCAAATCCAGGGTCTTGCCCATGCTAGGCAAGCACTCTTCCTCTGAGCTATATTCCTAGCCCTTTTTATTTTAATAAATTGCCCTAGCTAGCGATGAACTTGCCGTCGTCTTGCCTCAGTCTCCCAAGCAGCTGAAATTACTGGCATGCACCTGCCTCCAAGGACAGTCTTATTAATAGGATATTCTGAGAATTTAAAGTTTATTTTCAAGGAGCCAAAAAAAAAAGGGATTTAAACCTTTCTTTAAAATTTGCAGGATTTGAGTAATTCAGATCTGCTGAATGTGTTTTGCTGCCCATCATTCTAACGGACTAATGAAGAAAGATTACATGACTTCTTACTAAACCTCAAAAAGGCACTGGATAAAATTCAATATCTATTTTTATTTTTACAATTTTTTGTTTGTTTGTTTTTTGTTTTTCTTCTCTGTACCGGGGGGTCGAACATCAATCAACACCTCACACTTGAGAGGCAGGAGCGACTGAGCTAAATCCTTGACCCTCTATATTTTTAGAAGAGAATCTTTTAAAAAGCTACGAATAAGAGGAAACTTTATTAATTAGAAAACCAGGCGTCGTTAGCCGGGCCCTGTTCTTGGGGAGGGCAGTCATATGCCTAAGGGACACAGGTGAGAGGCTCATCCCTCCCGGGCTCCTCCCCAGACTTGCCCCCGGAACAAGGGCGGGAATAAAGGCACAAAACACTTGACTTTGCGGGGTGCTCGTGTTAACAGGCGGCATCCGGCCCTAATCTCACCCTAATTTGGTTTGATTTTTATAGCCAAAGAACCCCAGAAGGCTAGTGATGCGCGTGATCATTTTTTATTTTGGTAATCATCTTTTATTCTAATTTGTTTTTCTCTAAGAAAAGAGCTACTATAAACAAAGGGTAAGAAAACCCCAAACTCTTGAGAATTCCCTGCGCCCTCTGGAGCTCGGCGAGCGCAGGTGACCCGTCTTCAATTACGCCTCGCTCCGCCCCGCTGCGCCTGTCTTTTTAAGCACGCGAAGCTCTCCATTGGGAGGGGTGGGGCAGGGGCGGGGCTCTCTCCGCGCTGAGGTCTTTGGGAGCGGTTCCCGGGGTCTACTGCATCTTTAAGGAGGCGGGGCTCTGCCCGGAGGAGGCGGGGAAGTTCCCGCTCCCCGGATCTCTGGCTTCCGGCAACTCGGCGGGACGGAAGGGCCAGGCGAACCTGTCCGGCCTAGGAGTCCCGGGGCTGCTCGCGAGGTGAGGCGTCTACGTGTACGAGACCAGTGCTCGGGCCGCTGCCGCACAGCTCCTAGCCCTAAAATTTGCCGTTGCTTCGCGGTGTCCCTGGCTGTAGCGTCGCCTCCAAAGCTGCCTGGCAGTGTGCGAAGCTCCTCCCATATGGTGTGTCCTTTAATGGCTCCTGCACTGTGTTGAGTAGGTGCCGCTATGAACCCGTTTTACAGATGAGGAAGCTGAGGCCCAGAGGAGCGCCCACACAGCAGAGAAGGAACAGAATCGGAAATAAAACCCAGGTCTGTCTGATCCCAGAGCCTTTGTCCTTACCCGCCGTCTAGGCTGAACAGCTTTTGTTCGTCACCTCTCCTACCTCAGCCTCTCCTCCCGCATCCTGCCACCCAGTCTGCATCCCTAAACATTCAGCCGGTGGAACATGTAAACTAGATGGAACTTGTAGACTCCGGCGCTAGTTTCTTGTTGTTTTGTTGCGACGGGGTCTCTTTATGTAGTCTAGACCTTCCTTGAGCTATGTTACTTTGGCAGGTCTCGAACTTGCAGCAATCCTCCTGCTTCAGCCTTCTGAGTGCTGGGATCATAGGCGTGTGCCACCTCACCTGGCAGTTTTATAACAGTTTCATATGTAGACCTATCAAATCCTACCGACAAAGGTGCCAAAGGCAAGCAGCACTTTTTCTAACCCTGAAATGTGTTTTGTTTGTAGATATTTTACTTTGAAATCTGATGAAGTGTTATCTTTTCCTTTTAGACCCCTGCACATTTTCTTCCTCCTAATTGGGAGAAGACCCACTGGCTGAATGGCAGCTGTGGATAACTTGCGATTTGAAGGTACAGCAGTTGGGGTGTCCACCTTTATGATGACTATTTCCGCCAGTGGCAGCACTGGATTTTCATTGCTAAGTTGGCTTGTACATTATTTCATACACCTTGGTAGGAGAATGGTGGTCGCACTCAGGGTTTTGATGTTTGTCCATACCAGCTGTTCATTTTTGCCACCTGACCTTTCAGATGGGTACACGTAGCAGAGATTTGGTTCAGTGGTTGCCTAGTGTTTTATAAACACATAGCACTTATTATATATCAGGCACTGTTCTAGATGTCTTACATGTGATTCACTTAGTCCTTATATCAGTTTTTGGTTTTTTGAGAGTCTCACTATGTAGCCTTGAATTCAGTATGTTGCCCAGGCTGGCCTCAAACTCCTGGCTATCCTTCTGCCTCAGCCTGCGAAGTGCTGGAATAACAAGTATGCCTTACCATGCCTGGCTCCCATATTTTTCTCAATAAGAAATGGAGGCACAGAAAATTCAAGCAGTTTTCCTGAAGATCACACAGTTAATAAACCATGAAGGGAGGATTTGAACCCAGCAGTCTGGCATCACAGACTTTACTGTCGAGGAAGAGGTGTGATGTCTAAAGAGAAATCCACTTTTTTGACGAACACCACCATCTCCATAATGTGTCTAGTATCTGACCACTTCTCTCAGCTTCCACCTCTACTCCCACCATGTTCAGGGACACTTAGTACCTTTCGTCCTAATTACAACCCCTATTACCATCCTCTGGTTTCTTGCTTCCTCCCTTCCCTCTCTAGACTGTGTAATTTGCTCCTGTGGTAATCTTTTAAAAACTGTCAGGTCATGTTCTTTTACAACCTTCCATTAGCTCCCATCATACTAGGAGTGAAAGCTGGGGCTTTCTATGACTTAGGAGGCCCCCGCATGATCCAGCCTTCCATTACCCTGATTTCATCTCCTGCCGCTCCTGCCCTTTCATTCTCTCTGCCCTAGAAGCAAGGCCTCATCACTTTTTCTGGTACAGTCACAGTTAGGGGTTTTGTGCCATCTTTCTGTCTTAAGACATTCTTTCTCCAGTTAAGCATGTGATTTACTCCCTTTCTCTGATCAAATCTTGCTTTGTTAGAGAGGCTTCCTTGGAGTGGAGTGCAAGAAGGTTGAAGCATAGAGAACAGCATGTGCAAGTCCCTGAGGAGGAAAGAAGTTTGATTTTCTTCCCACCAGATTGAAAGAAAGTCTTTGTTCCAGACCACAGACAGTGAGGCGAGTGGAGGTTGACAGGTGAGGCTGGAGAGGAGGCAGGCAGCCACTCAGGCAGGCTTTATAAATTGTTTTTTTGTTTTGTTTTGTTTTTTTGAGACAGGGTCTCTATGTAGTTTCAGCCACTCAGGCAGGCTTTATAAATTGTTTTTTTGTTTTGTTTTGTTTTTTTGAGACAGGGTCTCACTATGTAGTTGAGACTGACCTGGATCTCACTATGTAGCCCAGGCTGGTCTTGAACTCACAGCGATCCTCCTGCCTCAGCCTCCCGAGTGCTGGGATTACAGGCATGCGCCACCACGCCCGGCTCCAGGGTTTATAAATTGTGTTGAGGACTTTAGTCCTGAGAAAAGAACACAGGGGCTGTGGGAATCTTAGAAAGCTTCCCTGAGGAAGAATGGTAGTGTTACGTGAGCCTTCATGTGGAAGACTATCTGTGAGGGAGGGAACAGAGGCAAAACATGGCTTAGGAGATATAGAAGCTGAGAATGCTCATGACAGAAGTCAGGCACCAGCCTTGCCCTCAAGGAGCTGAGGTGAGCAAGAATAACGTGCAGAGAATGTGTGAGCAAGCATGGTGTTAGAAGCAGACACACTACACTCCAGCCAAGCCATGCCATCTGCCGTCCCTCTGCTGTGGGAGACACTTCCTATTCTTGGGTCCTGCTCATCTCCCTGCCTTTCCGTGAGATGCTTTCCCAACTCCTCCAGCCGTTCTTCTCACTTTCTGGATCTCCAACTACTGTAGATGAATTACCTTCCTTTGAGTCTCCTTGGTCTTTGTATTTCTTTTTTCTTTTTTGTTACTGGGGATCAAACTCAGGACCTTGTGCTTGCAAAGCAGACAGTGGAACCACTGAGCTAAATCCCTGGCCCCAGTCTTTGTATTTCTGTAGTGCCCCTCTCTGTTCCTCCTGGCTTGCCCTTCTCTCTGGAAAACTTTTAAATGTGCGGCTTAAGTATATCTTCCTTGGCCAGGTGTGGTGGTGCACAGCACTTGGGTGGCTGAGGCAGAAGGATCGCCACAAATTCAAGACCAGCCTGAATTACACAGTGAGACCCTGTAATATATAGATATATTTATATATATCTATATATCTTCGTTGGTCTGAGTCTCTCTGGCAAGGCTCTATCTTTTTAAATGTCAGTGTCCTATCCAGTAGTTGTTAATGGTAGTATAATCTCATGTCATACAACCTCTCATTGAGGAGGTATGATCTATATTTTATAGGTGAAGAAACAGAGACTCAATGGGAGTAATTTGTCCAAGATTATGGGTCATGGACTTGGTCTTGTCTTTTGTGTGTGTTTTGTTTTTTGTTTTTCTGGTACCAGGGATCAAACTCAGGACCTTGTACTTGCCAGGCAGGCGTGGTGCCACTGAACTACATCCCTGGCCCCATGGACTTAGTCTTAACTTGAACAAGAATCATCTCATTCCAGACCCTTATGCTGCTTAAACAACCCAAACGTTGCTGAGGCTGGAATAATTGTTGTGTATTAGCTGTCTGATTAATTTTTATTCAGTTTGGTTTTCTGCGTAAAACTATTCATTTAGCTGAAGGGCAGTAAGAGTAAGCTCAGTTATACAAGTGCCCCATCCTACTGGCAGGATCTATGCCATGCATGTAGTGTTAATGATGGTACCATTCCTTGGGCCTTCAAAGGCTCAGAGCTGCCCTGGATTTTATTCAAGTACAGCTAAATATAATGTGTTAGGATGCTCAGAGACAGGAAGTCCCAGTCTCTGCTGATGGATGTAAGTAGGTCAGATTCTTTTGGAAAGCAGGTTAGCAGTATGGATCAAGAACCTTAAACCTGGGCCAGGGATTTAGCTGAGTGGTTCCGCTGCCTGCCTTGCAAGCACAAGGACCCAAGTTCATTCTCTGGTACAAAAAAAAGAACCTTAAACCCGATAACCTAGTGATTGCACTGGTAGGTGGTCATCCTGAGACTGTAACTCAAAAAGACTGTAACTACAGACATTCCTTATATATTTCAAAGACATAATATAAAAAGTTTTGTATGTAATCACTAGTAGATAAAAGCAGGGTACAAGATTGTTGGTACTTGGTACTCTGGAAACATGAGGTAAATATTTGTTGAATGAATGACAGTCACTGGCATGAGTCTCACTATGTAAAGAAAAGGAAATATCAAAATGTTAACAGTGTTTGCCTTTATGTGAAGGGACAAAGAGCAATTTTTTATTATTTGTACTTTTTTGTCCTCATATTTTCTATGTGATTACATAGGACTTTTTAGAAAAGATAACTTCCATTAACATTTTTTTAACTTCAGTCAAAGAAGGGAGGTTTAGATTGGGCCAGAAACACTTTGCTAAGGACATGACTTAGGTAATATTCCAAATTCTCCCCTCTAATTTTGTGTGTGTGTGTGTGTGTGTGTGTGTGTGTGGTACTGGGGATTGAACCCAGGACCTTTGCATTGAGCTACATCCCTGGCTCTTTTTTGTTCTTTATTTTGAGACAGGGTCACTAAGTTGCCTAGGCTGGACTCAAACTTGTGATCCACCTGCTTTAGATTCCCAGAGTGCTGGGGTTAGAGATGTGCACCACAGAGCCTAGCCACTCTCCAAACTTTTCTTTTTTGTTACTGAGAATCAAACTGATGGACTCATGCTTGCCAGGCAGACGCTGTACTGCTGAGCTACATTCATGGTCCTCTCCAAATTCTTTGACATAGATTTTATTCTCTCTATTATATGGGTAGGAACACTGAGGTTTATAGTTCATATACTCAAGCTCATGCAGTTAGTAAGTAGCTGAGCCAGGACTAAAATCCAGGTCTGACTCCAAATCCTGTTGTCTTCATAATTATTTTTCAATGTCAGATTAATTTCTAGATGAAATTTTTTTCCCCAAGCTTGTGGCTATTAGTCTTGGATAGGGTCCATAGCAAAGCGGATGTAACCACTTGTCTCAGTGGAAGCATAGCATTGCCAGTGTGTGTAAGGTCCCTGAAGCCCTTTTGTTGCACTTATTTTCAGAATTTGGAGATGCATCCACTTCTCAAGCAACAAACCCAGATGCCACCACGATAAGCATTGAGGATCCTGGTGAAACCCCAAAACATCATCCAGGACCTGCAAGAGGCTCAGGGAGAGAAGAGGATGATGAATTACTGGGAAATGATGACTCTGACAAAACTGAGGTTTGAATTTGGGATTCTTTTCTTTGAATTTTTTTAGGGGTTTGTTTATGTACTTATTCACTGCATCAGGTACAGTGCCAGGCAGTGGCCACACAAGGGACAATGACCTGTGGCCTTTACCTTGAAGAGGGAACAGGCAAACAGACATTATCAATGGAAGCACTGGCGGAGGGCACATGGTGGGGAGTAGGAGCAGAGAGCAGGTTAGGAAGGCTTCCTGCAGGAAGTAACTGGTCTGCATCTGGATGCAAGAGGATGTGGCCAGAGGAGGAAGTTGGATGAGGGCAATGTGCACAAGGGGATTGGTCTTGGTGAACGCAGAGGCGTGAAGGAACATGGTGCAGGTCTCATTATTTTAGTGGAAATGGAAATTAAAACTAAAGCTTGGGCCAGGGATTTAGCTCAGTGGTGCTGCGCCTGTGTTGGAAGCACAAGGTCCTGAGTTTGATCCCCAGTACCAAAAAGCAGAAAAAGTAAAATAAGTAAAACCAAAGCTTAAAACCTTTTAATTGGAACATTGGAGAGAAGAAAGGAAAGGACTTCAGCTTAGGTAGCTGGAGAGGGCATACTCTGATGCTGGGGTTCGGACCAGCCCAGCTCTCAAGGATTGGTGGTAGGCTAGTGTTGATCATTGTCTCAGTCCTGGTGTCAGAGTTCTGGAATCTCTATGGTTGATGGGTGGCTTTGATTCCAAGAAAAGATTGTCTCTGTCTGTGATGGTCTTGGTTATGTGGGGTTCCACGTTTCCTGAAATACAGGTGTTCATGCTTTTGGGTCCCAAAGAAATTCTTTCCAGGTTCTTGGTTTACCCAAAAAAGAGAACTACACATGACACACAGGAAAGATAGTGGGATGTACATTTATTCAAGTTGGAAAAGAAATACACTCTTTCCAGTTTTACTAGTAAATCTCTTCCTAGTAAGGGACTAGGGCACCATGGCACAATTGCAAACTCACAGTTGAATATTTGACCTTCAGATTGATAAAGCAAAGCAGGAATAAAGAAGCTCTGACTAGGACTCTTAATTCTTAATATATGGCTCTAGTTTGAGAGGAGGTTTTCCAGAAAAGGAAGTTAAAACAGAGTAAGCTCCACCTGTATCTAAAAGGAATTTGTATACCCACGGTGTTCAGGATCACCAACGATTTCTCATAAGAGATGGAGATGTCTGAACAGTGTGGCATTACAATTTGCTCCAGGCCCCTTCTGTCCTCTTCGTCATAGAGAGACATGAAGCTCTTGGCTGGCCTAGCCCCTCCCTGAGAGTAGCAACAGTCAGTCCTCCAGTGCCTTGAGCCAGGCACATCAGCTGCCGACACACAGAGCAGGGCCTGGTTTGTGTGCCCATTGTCGAGTTTCCTTGAGTTTAAAGCAGGAACTCTTTCCTTGATTAGCCCTGAGTTTTCCCTTGGTGACTTAGGTGTGCTTTAAGCATTGCTGCTTACAACAGCCATGTTTTGGCTTTTCTTTTTGGTTCCTTTACTTTTTATTCTCCTCTAGATCCTGATTGTTGAACACAGGAAAGGCTTTGTTCAGCAGTTGGGTTGTAGGTCCTGGGACTCATCTGAAGTTTTAGTAATTTTTGCCGAATATCTGGGGTTGATTGGGCCCACGTACAGTGTTTAGGAACTGCAGAGGTATCCTGGATTCTGTATTTTGTGCAGGTGCCCTTGGTCTCATAACTGAAAGATTACACCTAGCTGCTTCACTGGATTTGGCCTAGCCCTAATGTCTTATCTCATTCACAGGTTTAGAACAATGGCTGCAGCCTTCTGTGTGTAGCTGAATGTCCCTGTAAACCTCTTATTTTTTTTTTTTTTTTTTTTTTTTTTTTTTTGAGACACTGTGTAGCTCTGGCTGGCCTTGAAATTATAGCTCTAGAGTATCAGTAACTTGAAATATCAAAATAAGTACCAAATATCAAAATAAGTATTGAATGTTATGTTAAAGTAATTGATGCTATATACTAAATATTGTGACAGAAACTCAGATTTAAGAGCCTGAGTTTGAATCCTAGTCCTGCCAATAGTAAGATAGTCTTGGGAGGGACACTTAGTTGCCTGAACTTGGGTTTCCTCATTTGAAATATGAGAAAAGGATCAGTTGAGTCTTGTGGTCATTATCATCATGATGGTTAATATTTTACTCACTGTTTAAATGCTCCTGGCCACCAGTTAAGGTCTTTTACTTGCACCATGTAATATAACCCTTAAAAAACAACAAACAAAACCCCTGGCCCTTTGCTTTGATACACACCTGTAATCCCATCACTCTGGGAAACTGAGGATAGAGGATTGCAAGTTCAAATCCAGTCTGGACAACTTGGTGACTTAGTGAGACCCTATGTGAAAATAAAACATAAAGGGCTGAGGATTTAGCTCAGTGGCACCGCATAGGTCCTGAGTTCTATCCCCGGTACCAAAAAAACCCCAAAAACATAAAAATAGGGCTGGGGAATGTAGCTTATTATGAAGGCCCTGGGTTCATTCCTAGTACAGGGGATGGAGGGGGAGCACTGACCCAGGAGGAATTTTTATCTTCATTTTACACTTGATCTTAGCCAAAAGGCCGAGAAGCGATATTTTATCTTCATTTTATAAGTGAGAAACTTGAGGTATAGAGTTTAAGTAACTTCCCCGATAACAACTGGCAGGTAGCAGATGGAGCTTTAACTCAAGGCCATCTGAGTCCAGAGCCCATGTTTCTCACTGTAAACTGTGTACAGGAGGGAGCATATGTTAAATGCTTATTAAAGTGTGTTCTCTCAGGTACAGAAGTGTTATTCCTAAAGCTGATTATGTTAGGGTTCTCTAGAGGAAGAGGGCCAATGAGATATGTTTGGAAAGAGAAAGATTATTTTAAGGAGTTGGTGTAAGTGATTGTGGAGGCTTGGAGAATCCAAAATCTGATGAGTGGAGCTGGAGTCTCAGGAGAGGTACAGTTCAGAGGTCACCTGCTGAGAGAATTCTCACTTGCTGGGATGGGGACCAGAGTGGGTATGGGTGGGGTGGGGCTGACCTTTTATTCTAGTCAGGCCTTCAATTGTTTGGCTGAGGCCCACCCATATTATAGAGGGCAATCTGCTTTAGTGAGTCAAGCGGTATAAATGTAAATCTCGTCCAGAAACACCCTGTCAGAAACACTGAGGAGAATGTTTAACCAATGTCCCTGCATCATGGCCCACGCCAGTTGACACATGAAATTAACATCACATTGAGTAACAGCAGGCACCAATGTTTAAAAAGAAATGTAGGGTTGGGGATTTAGCTCAGTGGTGCCATGCCTGCCTTGCTAGCGCAAGGTCCTAACTTTGATCCTGAGAGAGAGAGAGAGAGGGAGACCTGGCATGGTATAGGGTATGGTAACATACTATAGTCTCAGCACTCTGGGAGGGTGAAGCTGGAAAATTGTAAATTTGAGCTCAACCCAGGCAACTTAGCGAGTGAGCAAAACCCTGTCTTAAACTAAAAAAAATGAAAAGGACTAGATGTAGCTCAGTGGTAATGTTACTGGGTATCTCCTTCTAAAAGTGACTCATTTAGAACATTACTGCATTGTGGGTTGCTTGCTTTTTCTGAAGTTAGATTCCAGGTTCTCATGTCAAAGAATTATGAGCAAAATGCAGTGGCAGTTTATTTGAGAAAATAAAAAGTGAAGAAAAACTGGCTTTACAGAGTGAGCTTGGTGCTTGTAAAAGAGGAGAAAGCAAAATAAAAGAACACCCTGGAGTAAGCAGGGTGGGCTATCATGAGGAAAGCCAAGATAGCAAGCTCTTCTTGGTGTCTGTCCTTCTGTACTATCCAAATCTTGAGGAAACCTGTGAGAACCTCTACATAGTGGTCCTGAGAGGTGGTGCTAGGATCCCATGCCTCAGGCTGATGGTTAGGTCTAGGCCATCCTATTGAAAACCTGCTGGAGACCTAGGGAGAGCCTGCTTGCAAACACAAGGTCCTGAGTTTGATCCCTGGTACCAAGAGGAAAAAAGAAAAGAAAAGAAAAGCTGCTTGAGTTCTCAAAAGAAGTCCACATGCAGGGCTTTGGGAACTGTACTGTACCTGTACTCCAGGATCTTGTAATTAACAGGTCACACCTACTTCCCTAGCCAGCACCTAATCTATATCATTTAGTCCTCCTATCCTAGTGCCTATTCCAGTTGCTATGTCCAGACCCACTAGGAGAGGAATGAGTTTTGTGGCTTGCTTAGTTCTTGTTCTGGTGGCTGCAAGAACTGGAAGGAATTGGTTATTAGGTGCTATATTGATCTCCGGGCCAGATAAACAAGAGTGTATGTTTCTGTCCAGTTTGTTAGATGACAAAATAGAAATTAGTGCCATACAGGAAGAAAAATGCCAGAGTTTTGAGATAGAAATTATTTTCAGTAGTAAATATATATATGAGCTGATTGTTTTCATTTTCCTAAACAGATAAAGTCACTGCTGATTTAGTTGCAGTCAGAGACTGAAACAGACCATAAAAAGGTATCTGGGCCCTATAACAAGCCTATCTGCCACAGTAGTATCCCACCCTAGGTGGAAGGCATCATGTAGGCACTTAATGACTCTGTGACTTGCCACTGTGATCATTGCAGCAAGAACAGCTGGGATCTCACATACCACCATTGGCCCTTTTGGATTCCTCCCTCATCACGAATCATCTGGAGCTCTTCTATAGCATACCTGGCTCCAAGTTAAGGTCTTGAAATTAGACCACAGGTAGAATTGTTGATGGGATAGGGTTATTTTGGTTATGTTTGGCAGCCAAATCTGTCTTTGAACTTGGGAGACAGGGTCCAAGGAGGCTTGATGTCCCTAGCAATGAACAACTGCTACCTCAAGAGGGAGATTTGCTGCCTCAAGGAGGTTGAGGGCCTCGGTCTGTGTTTTATTGATTATTGATGGCTGGTCAAAAGTACCCTTTCTGGGGCTGGGGATTTTGCTCAGTGGTACTGCCTCCTGCCTTGCAAGTGCAAGGTCCTGAGTTCAATCCCTGCTACCGGAAA